CGCTGTGAGGTTAGAGCAGTGCGTGTTGTTGCAGCTGTAGGAAGGTAGGTTACGAGACACTTTTATCCCTCTCGTGTCTATGGACGTTTTACGCACCACTACGAGTGAAGGTGTGTGAACAACTTTCGATACGTACTATGTACCATACAACATGTACAATATGTACTGCTGTTTCGTGTGAAATTTATATACATTTCTAGAACACAAGTGTTTCTTTCGTTTGTAGCTGTTAACCTCCTCACGATTCTGTCTCGCGAACTGTCTTTTATCAGAATCTTTGACTAACGTATCTCGCGTAAAAAGACACGTGATACTGCGCCATGATGCATCTCGTCCATGAACGCGAGGAGATTAAACACACGGTTCTTTCATTAATTTAAATACGTTGAACGTTTATAGCTTTTCCAATCAGAAATTCATTCGTTGAATTAAAAGAAAAATATCTGCCAATAATTACATCAAAGTAATAGCTAAAAAATATATAAATATATATATATATGATTTGAAAGAACATTAAATTACCTAATATCATAGAAAATCGGATAGAACAGAGAGCTATACGACGAAAATTTTTTACATTCGCGTGTCTTTAATTTTCCCTGATTGAACGTGACAAAGGGACTGAAATTAAATCGAGGAACGCGTGCTGAGTTACAGGGATATTGACGTGGCATTGGCAGGAATAATTCACGATCTTTTCCATTCGTGGGTAATTATTCGGATCGATACGTCGAAACGTGTGCGCGTGGGAGGAAATTTCAAGAAACGAACATCCTGGGAATTACGAAAAATTCGTTTCCATTGAATTAGTCTGTCGGAGCCTGGCCGATTTTCGCGGGAATAAGCTGCACCGGTGCCGTGCCAAATCGGCTATCGACCACTCATTAATTTCGCAACAAGTAAAAAAATCAGAGGCCCGCCAGATATATGTTGCACTATTGTACAATTTATTGAGCCAATCGCGGTGGCACAGTATCGCACGTATACACACACGCGATGGTACCGATCCGAGGTTTTACATACACGTGTTTTACCAAAAATTGTAATCAAGGCTGCTCCAATAATTTAGACATCGTTATTGAGCGTCGAACTTGCGGGCAACCTGTGCCAAATTAATAAACGAATCGATTGATGATGCGATAACTTCTACGAAAATACTTTGCGATCGCCGGAAATCGCGGCAAAATTGAACGTACTGTCGTGTAAAAACGTAGTAACTACTTTCTACAATCGTGTGAATCGCTTTTCAAATACATTCATCGTTGTTTGCACGTCGATAACTGCGTACCGTTCGTCGTTAAAACGTTTACAGAATACAGATGATGCAGGATTAATTGACAGCGTAGACCTTTACGATAGATTTTAGATTGTTATCCAAATTTATCACTGCTATTCTCGTCCGAAACCTGAGAAACTAATGCAAATTTAAAATTCTCTTGTCGACTGTTTAAAATGTTCGATTTCGTGTCATTCGAAAATGAGCAGGAACATACATCTCTTTATAGCCGTACGGGAGTAAAATTTTAACAAGAATTTACGACAACAGCTAACTAAATATAAAACGTATTTCAATTTTCAGCAACAACGACGCATCTATTAAATATTCTGTACAGAAATTTCCATACTTATTTCCCACTATATTATCTTTCAATAATTTTACTGAAATTTCGTTTAACATTAATATAAATCTAAACAGACAAATTTCAATTCACATTTTCGCGAATGCTGTTTTCACATTTAAAGGTAACAAGAGCATTTGTTTGGAGAAAAAAAAAATTCTTTTCAATTGCAAACTGTGCGAAGCGCGAAACATTGAAACTGCACAAAGTTCTTGTTTTCGTTTCCGAAAGATGTATTTTTATTTTCTGAAAGTTATCCCGGCTGCGTCATCAATTTTATCGCTTCTCCAACGTATCCCCTCTTCTCTATACACAGGCACTTTGTTTTATAGCACCGCTGTGGCGGTACAACAGAATAAAACGGTGTATCACAACAGGTATGTACAAACTACACTTGCGCTTTTAAAACTACCCAGACTATGTACGGAATTTCCAGGATGGAACTGAAACCTTATTACCAAAGTATCCGCGGAATTTTCAAGACAGAACCGCGCCTAACCTCCAACGGGACAAATTTTCGCGCGGCCGGCATACACAATGAGAAAAGAATGGAGATGGCTGAACTTTCAAATTATAAACTTTATCGAACAGCTCGCTCTTCCCTCGACGTTCACGTAACGACGAAAGAGGAGAGCCCTTAATTCTCGCGTGTCTTTAAACAAAGTGGTTCCTTCCGTTTTTATTAGAGAAAAATCTCGAGACGAGATCGTCAAAGCTGCAAAGTAAGTTTGAATAATTTTCAAAAGAAAACGAAGAACCTCTGTAAATTGATCTCGTTGGAAATTCTCTCGTGCATTGGAGTACTAGCTGTCTTTGAAAGAGATGAAATTAGTTTTCCCCCTTCGATCAATTTATCGAACTAAATCAGCCATAAAGTACCAATTAATGAAACGAATCATCTCGTGCATGTTGGGACGCTTAATGGACTGCAAAAATTTGAATTTAAAGCCACAGGTTTTTCTCAATTTCCCGTGAAACTAAGTAGTCTGTAATCACAAAATGTCAAACGAAACAATCAGAAGTGCAATAGCAAAAGCTTCTTTTTTTTTTATCGATGCCAAAGGTCTTCCGCGCCATCTCGCAATTTAAACTGCAAATCGGTCGAAATACGCGCGTTAAATCTGCTGACGTAATTAAATATCGTTTCCCCGTTACGGTCGATTCATTTAGCGAGTTTGAAGAACCAGCCCAAATATACACCTATCCCAAATGTATCGAACAGGAAAAATGCTTGAACGTCGATTACGGGCCGATATAATACAATGCAGATCACGAATGAATAGTGACACTGTTATCCGGCGTTCGTAACTGTAAAAGTTTTAACGAGCATGCGAATGAAAACAACTCTTTCGGCAGAAACTCTCTAATTAGATTACGAACAATAGAAAACGCTACATTTAACGAACAATTCCATGTTCCCTATGGGAAAGAGAGAGGGGAGGACGCACGCAACCGAATAACGAAATAAAATTTCGGACTGCGGCCTAATGAAATTACACCAAAAAGCTTGAAACATTTATCCCTTTCTTCTTCTTTTAATCCGATACAGAGGGACATCTGTACACATTGAAACACGAAGAAGAAAAAGAATATTCTCACCGAGGACATCGAGACATCATTTACGCGAGAGTAGGCGTTCGAATCGAAGTGACTCGAGGAGAAATCCCCGAAGAATTCCTCAAAACTGTTCGAGCAAGTTCAAGCAAAGGATTATCGATTATCGCAACGACGAGAAAACGACCTGTAATATATTTCCAATGCGTTTGAAAATACAACTGCCCGATATATATACATCTGACTTTCAAACCGGGCGAAACCTTCGGGCTTTCACAGCGAGGCCATCGCCGCGAGTTCTTAACAGCTGAGTCAGACAACCTGTCTGAGATACGAGGTTTACGTCGTTCACCCCCGGCTGCCGGGAGTGCAGCCCAGGAGCAAAGATCAGACGATAGAAAAGGGTAAAAGAGCTACTTCTGGGGTGGTAAGATGAACCGATTATGACGGGAATAGGATCCGACGTGAAATATGGTGGCAATCGACGGAATCTATCGCACCGATCGGAGAAACGTGGTTAAGCTATCCGCGGAAACCGCGAAATTATTGGCTTTCGGTCAATCAACAACTAAATTGATCAGAACTCTCGCAGACACGTACCAAAATAGATCGATAGATTTATATTTCACGCAGCCGAAACTGCAGCGAACTGGCTAATTTCATTTCGAGGCCAGTCTGTGATTGCCCGATCACGGCGAACGGAGAAACATTTTAACGGTAGTTAAATTTAAGATAAATCACCGTGTCGTGATTTATTTATCGGGAATTTGAATATTTTTCACTTTGAACCGACGGAGACGAAACGAATCTGCTGAATGAAAGATACGAGTCGTGGACGAAAGTTTGTGGTAGTCGAAGAAATTACTCGTTAAAGACTGAAAAAAAAAAAAAAATAAAAATAAAAAAAAACGAAGGAGTCGCCGGTGACATTTAACAGGGAAATTATCAAGAAACTTGGGAAAGTCAAGGCCTTTTGAAAACCGCCGGTGATCCTAAAATATCAGCTCGTGCATTAACGTGCCCCCTGCCTAATCAGCCGTTTCTGTTTTCATGCAGACCAACCAATATTTTCGTCACCGTACTGTGTAAACGATACTCGGGGATATTGCAGCGGAACGTTAACTCTTTCGTCCCTCCTTTCGTGCCCCACATCGGGTTAAGCTTACATAAGAAGCGTGTGTCTATTCAACGACGAAGACTATTCGACGCCTTTTTGCACGCGGTGACCGCCCGGGAGATCAACGCCCTCCGACACACTGCACGAGATTCTTTCACGCGCGCAGGAAACGCGATCCATCTTTTCCCCGTGGACTCGGGAAAAATCCAACCGATACGTGGGAGAGATACCTTTCCCTCCACACCGTGTCCGATGAGCCGAACTCGAAGCTCGAAGCTCCCTCGAAAGTCGGCTGAGTTGCTATTTGCAGATACTTTTCGAAATTAGATACACCCACGGAGAAGTAACAAATTGCGTTGCAACGCGAAACGCACAACTGCGGTACAAGTAGCCAGCGACCGGAAAAATGTTCGTCGCGCCAGCGTTACAATACGCAACGTAAACAAACGCTCTTCGTTGCCTATTTTCTCTCAACCTACGTTCAGCCAAGGGAAACATCAACAACATCTTCTTAAGAGGATAGACGAATTTCGCGAACTCTCGATTCTTCGAACAAGGAGAAGTTTGGAAGCTGGAAGTGGGTAACTCTTGAATGAAATAACTGTTGGACGAGAGGGTCGGTGTCGCATATTGGTCAGGGATGAACGGGGAATGTCTGTCGCATTGGACGACACGTACGCTTAGCTACGTAGCTACGTGAGCTGGTTTACCGAATCACGAAACTCCGGGGTAACAACACACTTCCATCGGCGAGACACGTTGTCTTGATCACAGTGATAAAAACACAATAACTCGGGGAACGCAAGAGAGGCGGTGAATACGTGATGGTCGCGAGAGGTCGTGCCGAGCCCGAGTGGGTTTACAGGCCGGGTGTGTGTTTACAGGCCGCGCGCGAGGAAACCGTTGCCAGAAATTAGCGGCTGAACGGCCTCGTAGCACGTTTCACCAGCGGCTGAAGGGAACTGGGGAACGCGGGCGGTACGCGGACTGTCACACCGAACGGTAATCATCTCCACGTGTTCCGGGCAACACGATCGACCTCGGGGGACGCGCAGTTGTCGACGAAACCGTGAATTAGGGGAAGCGGAACGCGTCGCTCGCGATCTACGTTCTGCGACATACTAGCTTTCGTAGCCTGACGCCCACCACCCTCGGCCGGCATCAACTCCCCTTTCTCCAACCAGCATCCCCCACCCTCGCACCCCTTCAGCTCTTGCCAGCCGTCTCTCACCCTCTGCCTCCCTGGTCCAACGCGCGACACGACCAGCAACCCCCGCGTCGAGGAACCGACGTTTTCGCAGTACCGCCAACGCCAGCAACTGCCGATTGGTCTAGAGAGCAGTCTCGACCATCGTCGTCCCCGGTGCTACTGGAGGACAGAACAGTGAATCAATCGTGCAATCCAACTTTCAGCTTATATTCTTCTTCTTCTTTTTCTTCTTCTTCTTCTTCTTCTTACGCTACGAGATACTATCGATACTAGACTGGCACATTCGAGCCGAGGAATTTGATTTGATCATTATATTTTGAGAGAGATCGGTGCCAGGGAAAGGATGACATTGCTCTGCTTCAGCTGTCTTGGGAATTTATTTCTGAGATTCTGTATACTCGTCGCAGTGATAGCTTTTGGAAAAATGTTAGCTAAAACTAGGGTAAGGTGGGTAATGTTGCGAGATGCTCTGTCGTTTGAATCTAGTGTGCGAAACAGGATGAGCTGACTGAAATTGTTCTAATGCTCTTAGGAACGTAACAGGCTTCTCGCTTTAAGTTACAGTGAGATATACTTGTAAAATAGCTGAGAGGTAATACGTAGTCAGAGTGACTAGAAGAGTGACATCTAAATATAGTAAAGATTTTTTAATACCTTTGTGATGTTTTGGTTTGTATCGTAAAATGCATGTAAAAGACGGCATTGTAGCATTTCATTCGATCATCTGTCGGTGTGTTCAACACAACTTCAGTTTATAAATGTCACAAATTTTTCGTCAATTTTAATTTAATTCACCGTTGGACATAAACAAGGTGTGAAAGATGTCGCGCAAACAAAATTAACAAAAAATTAACAAAATTTCGTTTTCGAAAACACGTTTGATTATGTATAATGGAGCGGACGTGTTTCACAGCACGCAATTAAACGTGATTGATCTTTTCTATTTTGTTCGAAGTTTCCGGTTGACCCCGATGCGTGCTAACGAACTAATCCACTGAATGCTAAAAAATAGTGGGGATCAAAACGTATCAGAGAAAGCACAACGCCAGCTAATTGATCAATCCTCGACCCTTCTGAATACGCACGCATAAACGGCTTGAATAGGCAGCATGTGTACACAGGTCCGAAATAGTCAATTCCAGTTGTCCTACTAAACACAGAAGCAACAAATTGCTTCGAAATAACACGTTCGTTTCAAGCGGCGAATATTTTCGTCATGTTCAATCCATAGCAAACATTCTACAAGTCTATTTCAATAAAAAAAATTCTGTCTATATTTAAAGTATATTAAAATAAATAAATAAATATATATATATATATATATATATATATATATACAGAAATGAAAATTGATAATTTAGTCCACATCTAATCGATAAATTAGACATAGTCACTTCGAAACGAACATCTCAGAATACCAAAGCTATCACCAGTTTCAGATTAACCAACTATGTATTCTACTTGTCTACTCTTCTGTCTGATCTGTGCGATCTCAAGATCAATCGAACATTTCTATTCGTGTGTTTGCTAGAAACGACCGTTTGAAATTCATCGATCCCATCGTCTCGTATGGAAGAAACAGTGACGGATAGAACCAGAGCTCCTTCGTTTCGAACATTCTCCGTCTGAATAGTTTTCAATGCGATTGATCGATTGTAAACACCATCGAATATTCAGAACACGTCTGACGCAACAGTTAGAAATCTGTTGACAAACATTTTCACTGAAGAATCGCGAGTCGAGAGGGAGATGTAGGCAAGCCTTTCCAACGAATCTACTCGATGACGCAACATTAACCCTCTGGTATTCGCGAACGAGATACCCAAATACTTATTCGAGATCTCTCTCGAATCTCTCTCTCACGAGATCCCCCTCGTCGAGCAATTCGATTCGTTATTCATCTGTGACACTTTGAACAAGATATTTCTCTCGTTTTCTCTTTTCTGTTTCATGTTTACAAGTGAATGACGTTTCACGTCAAAGGAAAATAGATGGGAATCGATGTCAAAAGTGTATCGTATCCCGTGTTTGATATTGTTAATCTTTTGACATTCGTAGACGAGGTACTCGACGTGAAAATTTCCACCTGCTCGACTTTTTCGGTGAAAATACCTCGAAACGCGATGATCGTTCGCAAAAATTTCGCACGTGATGTTCCTCTCCTTCCCGATTCAATTTTTCGATACTCGAAACTGCGCGAAAGGAAAATTTTCAAACAATTAACATTCTTATACCAATCCGTCTCGATATATTTTCCGTAGCAAGTATCGATCTTTCACATCTGTTCGAAATTTGGAATACGCTAAAAAAATGAGCGAATTGATACGATAACTGTGAATTCTTCGAAATTGTCTAAGAAATATTTTATATTCTATAAAAGTGGATATGTTCTAGAGACGTGAAAGATTCGTACAAGTGAACAATAAATTGGAATAAGTTGATAGTTGAAACAAGTAACGAACTTTTATAGAGGTCGATTCTCGATTTTTTTGCTACGACGGGTATATGAAACCGGATTCGCTTCTCTAACTGCCCCGTACAAGCGAAATAGCATTGAAACTCGTATCGTGACTCTTGAACGCTCAAACAGTAGTTGTACTTTATCATTTCTGCAACTGTAGTTTCACTCTGGACGTTTTCAAACTCTAACAGGGAGCGTTAATACGACCCTGGCAAGGATCCATTATTCGTGTCTTCTGACATGCACTTTCCGCATACGAGTACCACTTTAAAATATATTGCACCGATAAACTTTCCTTAAACTATTAGCTTTATTTAAAATAACACGATATTAAGAACGAAACATTCGACAATTGAAAGTTAGTTGTTTAAAAATGAAATATAAAAGCGATCTAATAATGCAGTTGAATATTTACTTGACGAAAATATTCTGCATGTAAATATGTAACATCTTTGTGCAAAAAAATTTCATTTACTTGTAACGAAATAATCTCTCCACCTGTTTACAACATATTTCATAACGTCCAACATGAATTTTGCAAAACGTCAAAGCGAAATGCAAATTAATTTAATTGTTCTCAACAATCAACTTGTAATAATTTAAACTCCGTTAAATAAAACCGGGACGGCAAAATCTCGCTGCGAAAATATCCTTTATGCAGTTATTTTATTTGATGTTTTCAAAAATAAAATTTGATAGAACCGAAACAAGAAATCCCCCTCCCCGAGAAAAAAATTATCTTTTATGAGAGTTGTTGAAAGTTTGTATTAATATAGAAATGAATTTCTTTTATAAAACTTTGAATACAATAGTTTGCAAAAAATATACTAATTAACATCCTATTAATAACCTGGTAATAATCTATTGATTAATTAACCTGTTAATTATAATATTTTCCTCGAGTTAAAAAAATGACTCGCGAAATTTTATCAAACGATAACACCTCGGGCTAGGAATAAGTATCTGTAACGCTAATCGAACCAGAATCGGACAACCGTAATTTACCAAAAGAAAACCAGACGAACGTCTAGCATTCAGCATGAATGGAAAAATTAATAAGTCGGCGCTAGCGATGGAGACGTAAATCCATTCGACTATCAGAACTCGTTCATTTCACGGCAACATTCACCCCTATCGTTTCTTTTACTCTAGCCCTATTTGTCTTTTTCCCTTCTTTCTCCATGTTTGTCCTGCTCTTTCGTACAATCTTTTTCCCCTCTTTACGTGTTCCCTCTCGCTACAGCTACGGGATTTTTAAATGAGAATTTTAACGATCGACCTACATTTCTGTGCCCTATTTACGGTGTATCGCAGGCAATGTCAAATACCGCGGTAAATATACTACCACCAACGACGTCTGCCACGGCGAGAAGGAAGTACGATGTAATTTCGAGTACACCGCAAGACCCCTTCGTATTCACGCCTCTACCAAAAATGCGAAAGAGCGAGAAGAAAGGAAACGGCATTGTAACGATTACCAATTCGTCGACCCAGTTCCAATATGTTTTTGCTCTTCCCGCGAAAACAGTCTCTGTCCTACTGTATAAGATGTTTTGTTATAACTTTCCAGTGATATTTATATGTATATATGACTTGAATATATATATATATGTACATGTGTGTAATTCAGTAATTGCAATAACATGAGAGATATTTCGCATGAAGTTTGATCAATTTCGAGAGCATTGAAACGAATTGGTTCCATGTGGATATACTCAACAATTGTATTATACGTATTGAATTTAACATTAAGAGCGAGAGTAAATAACTCTGAGTGAGCATAGACAACCGATAGATTATAGGTCGTTGGAGTTGTCGCATAAGAAGCGGAGATGACCTTAAAATCTCGAAAATGCTTCCACCTGGAACAAAATCGTGTCAAACACATGTCCTCGTTGAAATAAGATAAATTTATCTAGACATACGATGGGAAATCCTACATCAATAGACGAGTAATACATCATGATTTTACACAATTTATACAAAAAAAAAAAAGGAACAATTAGAAACGAAAGTATATTTCAATAACATTTAGTTTAGACTTTAACAAATCGCTACCATCGTTCATTCTTTATTATACTGAATTACAAGTTTCAACTGTGTTTCTCCTAACTTAACCTATCCTAAAACTTTGACTAATTTTACTATACTTTATTTTCAAGTACAGAATGAAATATTCTCTCTCGTTTAAATTCATTCTCACTCTTATTTCATTACTAATTGAACATTTATTGTTATTGTAATATTATATATGCCACATCCCCACCCCTTTTGTTTAAATTCTGGTTCGCGCGAGAACCGTTATTAACCGTTGATCGATCGAAATCTGAATAGATTACTCGAAAACTTACCCTCATGTGCGGCTGGACCAAAAGTTCATGGAGCTCTCGGAGATCCGCCCTATCGATGTTTCGTATCGCTGAATGCTCTATTTCTCGAAGAAGTTCCTCGACTTCTCGCGCACGCTGAACTGCGTCTGTTTGCGGCGCTCGGCATGGCGTTGGAACTCGAGTCGAAATCCTATCGTAAAGCTAAAGAACAATAACCTTATTAATCATTCTGTTCACACCTCTCAAGCTAAAGACGATTCAAAATATCTACATTCATTGAAATGTATTCGCGTGTATCGAGAAATGCAGTTCCCACAAATGTAACTGAAAATCGTCAACGATCATTTATAAAGAGAATTTAGAAACAATAATACCTAACCGAGTACAAAATCAATTTCGCCCAATTTCTCACTTATTCTTTGCACTGTGTTGCGTTACGTGATTTTCAACGCTTAGCGATCGATAATACTGCACAACGATTGCAAATTCTCGACAAAACTCGCCGGTTTTTTTATAAAAATTACTCTCAAACATAGCCGACCGTTACAATATTCAAGATGTCAGCCGGAAACTAATCGTGTTCGCGGGAAATCGCGCTAGTTCATCACGATACCCTCAGATGTCTCATCCTGTCGTGGTGAAGTCATCGTGTGAATCGTGTGTGGATGGAAAGATATTGTTTACATTACCGACGAAAGAAAAAGAGAGAACCAACAGAGGGATGATTACCCGTGTTTTTCATGGAAATTGATTCACTTACCAGGAGATAGGCAATTTCGAGAAGGTCACCGGCTAGTTCAACCTCGCCGACGTACATTAACTGGCAAAACCGCATTTTTGTCTACAATATCTAATCCTAACACGTGAGTCATTCAACCCCACGTGCTCTCTTAAGTAACACAAAAGGGATACACGCACACATCTATGCGATGAAGAACGAAATACGACAACTTTTCAATCCTGTATAGCATTTTGTTTATCAGACTAGCACGTCAGCCATTTTGATAATCGGGAGTCGGGCGCTTGCGCCCTTTTCCCACGTAAAATGAGGGCGCGTACCTCTTCCCTCAGGATATAAACAAGAGGCAGAAACCGTGAAGCGGGAACAGTGGAACACCAAGTGGCCTTAAATACCGACCGAAACCAGCGGTGGCGCCACCGAGGCCAGGGAAACTACCCTTGTGCGTGTCGGTAAAGTAAACACTCTAAATGTACAGAGTAAAATAACATTAGCAACGAAAATTTATATTAACAAAAAGATTCGGAAAACGAATAAATGATGATGAATATTCGTACAAGTTAGTATCAACTGATTTCAAGCGACATTCTTTGATTTTTGTCATTATATTATCGACACTCAGTAAGTAGATAAAGTGGAATCCTGTATGAGAAAAAATATTTCAAAATTTGTCTCTTTTTAATTCTGTGTACGATTATGATTCTTCTACTTTTTAGATACTCTATGTTTGATTTCGTATTTCGTAAAATTTGACTTCATATCTCTGTATCAAATTTCTTAACGAAAAAAAGAAAAAAACAAAAGACTTATTTGTAACATTGCATATTGTATACAATATTTCAAGATAATCTGGAAACTGCATTTCCTCTACCGTTCTATAAGATATGAAATATGTATACTCGTTGATAACAGAAGTAGAACATCTTTACGATGTGTTTAGCATATTCATACCTCTAAAACAGCTCGAAGACGATAATCGTCAACTGCGTTAAGTATCTCGGCACGTGTCAGTCTTCCACTCTCTTGAAGTACCTCAATATCATCCAGAGAGTCTAAAATTTCAGCTACAACACCTAAAAAAGAATTTTGATTTTGGAAATCAAATTGTATATATCAAACCACTTAATTAATTCACGAATTCGTAGATTTCAATAATTTAAAGGATTATTAACGAAAATTATGGTATTTGGTATACTGAAATTGAACTTACTTCCATAATTCGTTCAATATGATAATTAATTATTTATATTTTCTCTATTTACTCATTTACCAAGTAATATATATTTAATACGTATATTAAAAATAAATATTAAAAATATTAATACCTGTGGTAATTACTTCGTCGTCGCCTATATCGAAAAAGCTGTCACCGTTAATTTCCGAATACGGGATGTGCCATTTCGAGGACGAGATCGCCGCTTTCACAGCTTCCTTCAATTTTCGTCTAGCATTGAATTTCTTAAGCTCTTCTATAGTTTCGCCTAAATGTATTCGGGCCACGCCCTTATCACGATCCTACAAATGTAGTTTGTTCAGAGATTACGCAACATCAATACTATCATAATAAATAACGAGGGTAATGTTAATGCTAGACTGCGATGTGTGCGATAAATGGCTTGAGAAAATTGCTGGTGAAATAAGAGCATCGAACGAGTATCTCTCTCGTTAATTACATCTCGTGAATTTTATCGCTCGTAAATAAATGAACTTCCTGTTTTTATCAATCATAAAAATATTAATATCCTTACGGGTTAACAAGAATATTCAACAGAAATAAATGTTTGTCGATTAAAGTAAGATGTACCAGCAGTAAACAGACATGTATTCCTATACCTATACCGTGGTAAACAAACGATCTGATACGTTCGAAAAGGACGTTGAATATTTGCGCTGCTTTGAAAAAAAAAGAGCTCGGTATATCGTGCAACTTCTTCCCAACGAGAACAAAATCAGATCATGAACGCGCGTTTCTATGAAGTTTCTTAGGACTTCAGCGAATGTGCAGTCACGTTCAAAAAACTGTAACTAGCACAGGGAAAAATATACACCGCTACAGTTATTTTCATTAACCGGTGGAACTTTGCCCCTGCTATAGCGATCGATAGCCCAGTTGCACGTGTATTGCATCGATATATGGGGTGACTCCAAGCTTCGCTACCTTAGGTCACTGGCTAACTGTCGTATCATATAGGTATATTCTTACTTTATTACACCATATGCCATGCACATGCGCACGTACATTCACCGGATATAATAGCAGAAAATGAGGCCGTTTATCGAAAACCTGATGCGATATAAAAAGAACCAGATAGATGCTTAAGCATCTATTAAATAGAAGTTGTTAACGCGAATGCCTCGACACACCGTGGATCGGTTTCAATACGTACTCGCGAATCCATGTTGCAAATTTCCATGAAAAAAAATCTAATTTCGTCAGATTCAATTTCTGCTTCTAGAAGGAAACCGTTCGTTTTCTTTATTCGCCGATTGTAAGTTAGTTACGAACTGCAGAAAAATATATTCAAATCCGGCGAGGCAAGGGACCATATAATACAAACATTATAGGATACTTCGATCTCGGTCGCGAAGCTGATATTTGAAATCAAGAAACAGCCGTTTGAAGAGAGTGAAAAACTTCCGAGTTGGCGAAAGTTTTCATAAAATATCCGTAACGAGCAATCCGATCCTCTCCTAGAAATCTACTTAAAATTATTGTTTTCCTTCCGTGGTGGATCAAATTTAAACTCACATAAAATTGCATTGCATTCGATCCCATCTCCGCTGAATACATACTGCAGGGAAAATTCCAAGTTACTTTCGCCTTAAGAATCCCGCGATTTCTACCACTTCAACCACCCGCCCACTACCCAACTGTAACCAAGCTTCTTTTGAAACCTGAGGTTGGAATACATCTGCCTTGTGGAAATAACGCGAATACCTTTTAAGACCTCTCGCGGATTTTCGTAATGAAAGCATCGAGCCTGCACGAAATTAACCGATATCGATTAGGCCTTTAGGCAATTGAAAACTCTCGGATGTCTACGGATAGATACATAAAGGACAATCGCGTTTTGAACGCGATATTAAATACGAACGGGTAGAGGAGATAAGTAATTCTCCTAATCTCGCGCGCGTTGAATCACGATTCAATGAAACGCGACTTACTCGGAGCCATTTGTGGTTCAGCACTTCCTGTATGGTAATCCTGTGATTTACATCCGTTGTGAGCATTCTTTGTATGAGATCCTTGGCTGGTTCGCTGATATTGTCCCATAAAGGCGTTTCCATCTGCAAGCGTTACGAACATGAATTTACCATACCCCGGTGCACGGAAGCGCGTGTGTGCGTGTCACACGCGCGCGCGCGCGCGCACGGATCGAAAACGTCGTTATCTTTCTTGCGTGGCGCTTCTAAAAGCGGAGAAAGCGCTGGATGTCTGGTCAATTTCTACCTGCACTCGTCCTCTGCAAATTGCTTCTCGCAGTCTATCTCGAGAGCCGACGAATGGAAGTGTACCAGTTAATAGAACATGGAGCAGCACTCCGGCTGACCAGACGTCACCAGGCTTGCCGTACTGTCTGCGCTGGATCACTTCCGGCGCCATGAAGTGTGGACACCCGACACGACCTGCATAACCAAGAACATCGTCAGAGGTGTGTAAAACAACCGACACATTCGGCATGGTGGAAGCGAGCCGGCATGATTACTTCGAAAGTTCGCAGTCGATCGTTACACGTTCAAGGTAACTTTCGGAAAACCGGCCGAAACTTCGTTGTCAAATTCTCGAAACGAGAAGTTTCCCGCTAACTTCTCGCCTCTTGGCGATCAACGATTCGTAAACAATGGATCGTATCGCGTTTTCGCGTATTTCCCTTCACACGTCGGTTAACCACAGCTTCTGTTCAGAACCGCGTTTTCAACGTCGCGTAGTAGGCACACGATCAACAACTGATCACGACGATTCTTATTGGAAAACGATAACGTCTCGAGGAAAGAAACACGCGTTCGATTGTTCGGTATTTGACGGAAGAAAAAGAGCTGCATTGGCGAGTAAGATGCGGGTAATTTATATTCCGAATAATTTAACCCTCGTTCGACCATGACTCGGTCATCTGGAATTCAAATATCGAATGAAACGAAAGGATGCATTTGTTCTGTGATACGTTGTAACAATTTATCCAAGAAAACACGTGGAAACTATCTTTATTATCTGGCATAAGTATCTGAAATTTCTTTATCATCCATAATTATTAAATTAAAATTTATAACATCTTGTACAATATAATTTCCACAATTTTTCTTCAATGTTTAATCTTCGTTATGGTAACTAATACATCTATTTTCAACTTAGTTTTTTTTGGCCAATGTAAATTATGACTCGTTGCAGTTGCCGATGAAATTTCAAAATCTGTCGTATTACAAAACACAAAAGAGGTTTGAACTTTCGTGGAATTAGGTGCAAAATTGAAATTTTATACGTGCATGTGCACAGTTTAGAAATGACCGAGTCATCGCCATCTGCGGTTCGACGGCTGAGGGTTAAGAGCTTTCGAAGAATTTTACCGCGGCGCTGGGAAAGCGTTAACGATCGAAAACTTGATGAACGAAAAGAAAGAAAAGAACTGCTCGTTATCCCGTGAATGCTAGATCGACTGGACCGGAACTGAGTATGTGTAATGCCGGCAAACAAATGTGTAGTATATCAAATGCGGAAACAAATGGAACATTCGGTGAATAGAAACGCCACGTTCGGCACGAGCGTCGTATTCACGAGCATCTTATGCGTAGTTTTGCAAATGACAGCGTGCTAATCGAACGTATAAATGTATAAACATCAATAATTCAAGGCTGACAGAAGGCTTGCAGAAACGAGCTATTAAAAAAAAAAAAAAAAAAAAAAAAAAAAAAATGAACACACATTATTTAAGAAAACGATAGAAAAATGCGCTAGTCAAACAAGGAAAGCAAACGTTGTACACGCGCACGCGAGACATACATATTTATTGCAAGTTTGCTTCATTATCATAGCGCTTTGACTTAAACAGCAATTTCAGTAGAATACCTAATTATTCTCTTTTTTATCATAAACGTAAATTTGAATTTCCAAGGGAATACGAAAATTTTTCACATATTTTTTGACGGGCAAAAAGGTTCGTGAACTTGCGCCGTAACTTATTAATAAACTTTGCGATTATATTATATTTCAATTGCCGTTACGTTAATTCACGGCAACGGGGAATTTCATTTAAACGATTATCGTAAATTCCGTGCTGTTGTTAACGTAATACCAAAATCAACAAACAACTCGTTTAAGTTAAATAACCAAATCGCAGTATATAAATATATAATGTTTCTGCCAGTTTTAGCATTTGCCACGACAGAAAAGAGATAATTAGGTTTCTGTTTCTTTGAAGATGGGACGTACCTACGCGTGATAAAAAATACACATTGAAGGAACATGAAAATAAGAATCATTGAATTAACATATGTACATTCACATAAGCAGACTATTTAAATCTTGAAAACATTCACATTGACAATTCAGTGTGTACGTGTGTGATGAAACATACGTATTTTCCTTGTAAATGCTACAGACGACAATTGTTTATGTGTCACGGATATCAGAAAAATTGATATCGCAAGCAAATGAAGTTACAAATTGGAATATGTTACTTTGCGGAGAGGCTTTCAGCGAAAGGTAAATGACGTTTACGTGAAAAAGTAAGAGAAAAAGCTAATTAGCATATATATTAGGTAAAGAAGATTCCGTTCATCTCTCCGAACTTGCATCTACCGGAATTACGCGAAAATGCACAAAAGTAGGTCAAAATTATAATACGCAGAGAGTGTGAGTCATATATACGCATATGGCGAGAAATGTGAAAAAATGGAAATACATCAAGCTGTTGTACGGATCATACACGAACGAGTAGAGAAAAAAAGAAACTGTGCAATGAGACGACAATATCAATATGGGATTGAAGGTTTCAAACTGGGCGCCAAGAAAGTACCATAGAAAGGACAATAGTATTCACGCGGTATAAATTATTGTTATCGGAAGAGCATTACGTGACGTGCATACACAGTATGTTTCTCTTTATGAATTCTGTGAGGAATTATAGGATGAAGTGTCGTCGATCGAAATCTCATTGAAATTCAATTGCATTATTTAACGAGCAATTAGGATTTCACTAGCGCGTCTCCCAATTTCCACTTTAATCAAAAAATTTGACTGGACTTAACGAAATGAAAAAAATGGGAGTAAAAGTTCGACCGCGCGACTCGACGAACGACGAACGTTCGATTCATCTTTGTTATTTTTATCGTTCGAAAAATGTAAGTAAAAATACATCAAGTAAATACAGTGTGCTTCATATATATGTAGATGCAATATGTAACAAAATTGACGAGCCACTCAACGCGCGGCATAGATCACCTGCGCGTGGTCCTGTGTCAGTGCATGAAATTTTTAGCGAGCGTGTACGTGAAATAAATATACGTGGGCAAAAGAGACTTGCAAAATTACACGTCCGTGAAGCTGTGCAATAGCTGAAAGTGAATTTTTACCGTTGCCTCTGCATACTTTCGTGCCGCTAGCGAGGGTAGGAAGGAAAACTGACGGAGCAGTTTCAGCACCGCTCGTAAATCACAGATTAAACAAATAACGTATACTCGTGTCTCTCGTTTTAAATCGATACTAACGATCAGATCGACCGTCGTTCGGATCGACACATCTTGAGGCATAATTTTTTCATCTATCGACGCGATAAAACTTTTATCACGGACCCGCGGAGGATGTTACACTCCGATCGTTTTCACAGCAGAGCGAAACGTTCGATTTGATTTGACTCTCGGAAATTTTGCGAACTGTACCGACACGTACTTACCACTTGACTTCGTTTGCTCGTTTTTTTTTTTTCGATTTCGATTCGGTTGTTCGCTTATCGATTAACTAATTAAAATTTCATCTCGTTTGCTCGAATAATTTTACGCCGCTTTTAAGAAAAACCTGTTCCCTGCGTGAATAGAAATAACGAAATTGATTTCTCATCGTCGGCACGTAGTACGGATATATTTCGAAAATGTTTAACACCATGATGTTCATGATAGTTTCGAACATGGACCGATTATTGTGACAGCGACACATCGTTAGAAGCATGACGATGAATTGCATCTATGCGTAGAACATTTATCCGTATATAGGTATAGACACTTATACATTCGGGTATCACTTGCACGATATATATTCTTAAAAATTGACAGAAAATATTGACGATGTAACAACGTACGTCTACCACAGATAACACGATAGGACAAACACAAAGGCATACATGTAGGCAGACACACAGACATAGGCAAGTCTACCGCTACGAACAATGACGACACAAACAAGCCCAACAAATCGGGCAATTCTTGAACGCAATCAAACCAACAAACAAGGAGTACATTGAAGAGTTTATTACGTACGATCGGTGACAATTGAAACATTACAGATATTTGGTCATTTTTTTTAGAAATTTCAAATACATATTTCAAAATATACACGTACGTATAACGATGAATGTATATACTTACGCAAACGCGTGTCATAGAAATGTGAGAAACAAAGAAATGTGGTTGGAAGGAAATTTCTTCTCTTTCTTCTTCTTCATCTATGTATATTCTATGTACGTATTCCAGTGGACAAAAGGAAATTTAAAACTGGTTCGAATTGCTTCCATTTGTCCACCGCATTACGTTCGATATGAAATGTTAAAAATATCAGAAATTCTAAGTGTACGATCGTAATGAACCCTTCAATCGCGGGATCCTTGTAACGATGAAGCAGAAGTCGGACTCATTCGTACACGCTACAAAAAGAACGGGACACGTCGACGAACGGGGAACAAACTAAAGGAAAGAGACTAAACGAAAAAAGAAGAAAAAGAAGTAGAAAAAAACGGAAAAAAAATGTAAAAAAATAAAACGAACGGGCCTTTCTGTCTTGTTCTTGAGATATTAGGCAGCTCGACGACACAACGTGTATCTGTCACACTACGCGAGCCTGCACAACGATTTTACAGGAACAAACTACCGCACGTAGGTCAAGTGGAGTGTCTACGCGGACACTACGTGTTGTTCTGAAGCTGACATAATCGAACGACACGGGGGTAGAACGAGTATGCGTGTCATTGCATCGAAAACAAGCAACCGAGGAACGTTTTAATCGATCCCCATGTTAGTTCGAAAGCATAACGATAGTACTTGTCGATTGGACGTCGCGCGATGAGTCGAGACAAATCGAACAGTCTTTTTTATTCGTAACCCATCAAGCTATCATCGGTGTTTTTTTTTTTTCTTTTTTCGTCTTCTAACTCCAACCGATATGACTCGACGTACGAGATATTTTTTTCTTTTTCTTTTTTTTTCTTTTTTTTTTTTTTGAAGGAAAAATCGAACCTTCTTTCTACTCTCGAATCTTTTTCTCTGGCTCTTTCTTTTTCTTCCGTTCCCTTCGCTCCACTTTTTTCCCTTTTTCTTTTCTTTTTCTTTCTTGTCTTTGTCGTGTCTACCCCCGGTTCTCGTTATTATGCGGATGTGGCAGGCATACGAGTACCGATATTGTCCTCCGTATCGCTCACTAGCGAATCCTCGGCGTCGGTCAGGTCCTCGAAAGGGAAATTGCAGCTCGGAGACGTCAGCCCTATCGAAAGAACACAGACAAATAGGACAAGGATCGTTATCGAGCGGAGTAATGTCGTGGGTGTACAGCATCTGCCATCATCGACGATAAGAACCTTATCGTCATCGCCGTTATTCGTAGAGGAAGACAGACCTGTGTTTGTGTCATTGTATCAAAGAATCGAGTTTTAGTGCGGGCCAGAGCATGCGACGGCCGAGGCCCGGGGAAAAACGATTTTCTAAGCGATTCTTTGGCAAAAGTGTGCCTCTGTCAGAACAATCGAACGTTAACCTCGTTGACTCGTTTGGTCGTCGAAGATAAAGGGAGCTAGCTCTTCTACCCTTTCTCTCTTCCTCTCTCTCTCTCTCTCTCTCTCACTCTCTCTTTCTCTCGCTTTCTTTCTCTTCCTCCGTCTATCTGCTATCATCGGCTATAAGTTTACTATTAATCTTCGTTTGCTTTCGAACGACTTCCTTTCCAAGACGTCTGTGGACACGTCTTGTTACACGTGACAAAAGAAAAAAAAAAGAAAAAATGTTAAGTTCAATTAGGTCACCGCGTTTTGATTAATTGTCAAAAATTTTCCGTAATGTCTACAATTCAACTCGCCACTATTCGCAGTTGTACTATCTCCTTCGCTGTCTGATCTAATAATGGACTAATGAACACTGACTGAGATGTGTATCTACTCTGTTTATATATGAATAGATAGAAATACAGACGTGATAAATACGGCACACAAAATAGATAGAATCTAGGGTACATTAATATAACACTAACGTAATGGAGTTCAAAGTTAAATTCAAAGTGCATCGTAACAAATAGATTTAATATATATATATATATATATATATATATATAGTGTAATTTTTACAGTTGGCACGAAGCTTCGTTTCTACATTAACTGACAGACAAAAGTGTTAGACGACTGAACTTTCACGCAGAGAAAAAGAGACTGAGAAAGAAGAAACGAAGCTTCGTGCGAGGAAACGCTAACTCACGTGTGAGGTCTATTCGTCTATACAGAATCAAGGAACATCTTATATAATATCATTTACACTGAAAATCACATCGAACAGTATATGTAACAATGGCGTAAGATCGGAAGGTGGGTGAATAATGTGAGGGAACGAATTTTGAGTGGAATTCTCATCGAGGGGGCTTTCTTTCGACGCGAATTCGTTTCTTCTGGCGGGGGGATGTGTTCGATAAACCAGCAAATGGATTTCCAACACGTGATTGTCCCGGAAACAGTCGGGCGCGCGTCGGGACGACACAGTTTCTCGTGACTGGTGGTCGAAATCTGAACGCGAAAAAAAGCAAGCAAGCAAGCAGTGGCAGCTTCTAGAAGTACAGTAACGTGAGAGGGACACACGGATCGGGTTAAGACGGTAGCAAAGTGTGTTGGTGAACGTGTGTGTATTGGACGAGTGTGTGAGTGTGTGATACATATGGCATGATGATACAAGGCTCCTGCGGAAGTGATGATTAAAGGTTAGGTCAGGCTTACCCTCGTTGTCGGCCTTCAAGTAGAGCTGCCCCTTTGGGCTCAGACACTGCCGATACTCGGTCGTGTAACACTCTGTATTCATCCAAACCAAATTTCAAGTTATCAAATTTTGTAATTAAGCGATGCTCTTTCCTCGCGTAGCCATTTAAAATGTCTACAAGATAAATCTTTCACTCATTCTCACAACCTTTTTTTTTTTCCTTTCCCTTTTCTCTATCTTTTCTTTCATTTTTTTTTTTTTCTTTTTCTTTTTTGGAACATTTTCAAGCAGCAGTCCGCGGACAATACTTCCACGCGTTCTAAAGTAATGGTAAAACGTTCCCAAGCTATCTCTACAGCGTGGCGGAGAGAAAATTTCGAGCGTACGCGGAGATCTCGCCAGATTCTAATCATTAAAATTGAAGCCTCTGCTCGATCCTCGTTCTCATTCGGCGAATTTATTTCTATAATAAAGGTTCCTAAATAACGTTGCTGCGTTTAATATACTAATATGTAACTATAATAAGCGTTAGTCGATGCTACCAGCGTTTTTAATTACCTATATATCTTTTCAAGCGTAACCGTGGCAAAAAAAAAAAAAAAAAAACAGAGAAAGTAACTGTAAAATAATTACACAGGATACTAAAAATTTACATCTCTTATGCGAACAAGCGAGAAATTAAAAAGAAGACTCTCTCTCTCTCTCTTTCTCTTTCTCCGTTACTTGATCAACGCGACAACAACGAACGCTTTTGATCACAAGGTTATCGAATTTCGTCGAAGCAATGGAAAACACCGAATTAATATATTTAACGTCGGAAGAAACTGGGCTACAGCCGCGCAAAAGACACGAAAGTAACAACTTGGAGCATCCCGAGATTCGTCAGGCGGAGCGTTACCCAGAAACTCATGAATCCAAGGAGATCCAGTTTTCGAAGGCGCCAGAAGTTTGCCATCCCACTTTTAAACGTACTTTTCTCTTTGATATTCGCGTTGTTCTTATTGTCCGATAGTTTGAATTAGTTTCGAAAGTTTGGAAGACTAAATAACGGAGCGCAGCACCACCCGCGGGACGGGTTTATCTGCCACGAAGCTGACGATTTTTTTCCCCAACGATAATTCGGGAAAACCGTTTCTCTCCCGCTTTCGAATTACTACTAATTACCGGATAATTATCAGATGGTTATATCTCGACGGAGCTCGGCTGTCTCGCCAAGGTAAACGCTTATTAAAAAAGTTTGAAATATTTATTCAGTGCTGATATTTTAATTCCAACAAAAATTTCCGAACGCCGTTTTCTTCGATGTTGGGCGAAACATTGCTACGTTCAGCTGAGACAAGAGAAATAAATTGTACAAACATTAATAGAAAATTAATCAAACTAAATTAATTGACTATTGTGAATTCTTTAGGAAACAACGCGAATGTAGTGGAAAGAACACAAGCTCCAAGATCGAGAAATCGTCTGAGGAGCTGGAAAGAACGCTGGGAAGCTACTATATTTAAAGAGGAAATATTTGTTCATCCACACAATGCCCTTAGGAACATCTTTTTTCGACGATAATCTCGCCAGCCACTCGATCCTCGAATCGTATAACATTCTCAAGCTACGAATCACTGGATGCGGCGCGTTTGTTTAGATCGTCGGTAACATTCTTTCGCAAACAACCGGATCAATACTCCACATCTTCTCCAGGAAAAATGTATCGTGGGTATCTGTTCCTACGTTTCAGTCAGTATCAGAACGGAGTATAGAGAAACGCGATGCCTTTTGGCATGCACATTAAAAATAAATTTCCCTACGACTGGTCAGAGTCAAGGGGTGGTTGGGGGGAGAGAGGAATCATTGATCTTACGGAATGATTCATTGATTTCGTACGAATCGCAGGGCATGAATGAAGGTCCGACCACTTACGCATGAGCACCGAGTGAAGTGGATCGATTGCTATAACAAAGTGCATTTTATCAACGGCTCTTAACGGCGATACGATATCAAACGTGGCGCGACGACTCTTCCTACGATTATCGTATAAACAGATTCGGAACGACAAAGAAACGGAGGGGTGGCAAAGAAAAAANGGGGGGGGAAAAAAAAAAAAAAAAAAAAAAAAAAAAAGAAAAGAAAAGAAATGGAGAACATGGCTTTCTCTCGAGAGACGAATGCACGAAAGTTCTGCCCGTACTTCGTTAATACACATATGTACTGATCGTAGCAGGCTGAAATTAATACTACGATTGAACCTCGATTATTCACGCGTACGATTATCCCGAGCGTTCAATTACCAAACAATCTCAACACCTGAGCTTAAGCGGAATTACAAAATGCATTCCCTGCATAAATTTGCATCGTGCAATGTTAATGACCGGTAATGGTGCGTTCAAATTCAAAAAGGGGCGACTTCTCGCGACAAATTGAATCCACGAAAATGAACGATCATTTTCTTTTTCTTTTTTCTTCTTCGTTTTATTTTTTCACTCAGTCTCGATGGCCTCAAAAATTTCTCACTCCAAGAATCTTTCGAAAAGTGAAACCGATTGTTTCTCCAAAGTAATTCATGTATTCCGGCCGAGTGATGCAAATTGAGAAACCACCGACCTTGTCTCCGACTGACAAAATCTATTTCACATTTATCTTAGTTACGTAAATGTTCGCTGGCGTATGGAGAATTGAACTCGTCGAATCGGAGTGGCGCAATTGCCAGTGGATTAAAGGCTGTTTTTTCGACGATGCGTAGCAAGTCCTTAATCCGTGTGAATATTGAAACCTTTGACACCATCACAGGAGTTACTCCTGCCTCGGGGTTCCGCCTCGTAAACCACGTCTTTTTCAAATAGTGTTTTTCAAACGGCGCGAATTGACATCGGCGCGTCATCAAACCTCTGATGAAGCTAGCTCCAACACCTTTGAAACGAACATTACTTTTTTCCCTTCTTTCTCTGAGAAGGAGAGCGGCCAAAGGTTTTTGGAAGGCAGAAAAGCATCAAAGATTCAGCAAAAAAAGGCCAGATTTAAGAGAATATTAAAATTTTTCATTTTTCTGCGATTAAAATCGTGGTTGCTCAAAACTTTGAAACACACGCCCCAGATAATGTTTCTCAATAAACAAGCTTGGGAAGATCATTTAAACAATTTTATTATTTTCTCAAACAACGTAGGAAAAGTAACTTTATTTCGCTTTAGATTAAACAAATCGTTTTCTGACGTAACAAACAATTTGGACTGTGCTGTTAATTTGGATGTTAAAGATTGCTTTACTCTGCATTACTCTATGAATAATACAGTGAGGCATAACGTCTATTTTTGACGGAGTGCAGAATATTAATGAACTCAGGAGAAAAGAACTAAATAATGAAAAATTCCGACGGATAATCGCTTGCTCGTTTCAAATATACATAGAGGTGCAATAGCGTAACAACCCTATCGTTCAACCAATAAACAATACTGTTAAATCGTCAAATATGTAAGTGATACATCGCAGTCAGAGGAATGATGCGATGTATCATTGATGCATAACTGCAGGACTCGGAGAATCACTGAATGAGACACGTACAGACATTGTGCACCAATTCAAGCGAACCATTGTACTGAGAAGCTCGTCTAGTTATTATTAGCCACTCGTGCTATAGTTTTCCACTTGTACAGGCCACTCGTATGTTTATAAAATATTTAATTACGGGAATCAAGAGTTTTGTATGCTAATTGTGTCAATAAAGCCACGAGCTAGCATTTTTGTATTTCGTTCGAGAAAGATAATAACCGAGTGGTGAGTTCGTAACTATGTAATCCAAGACCCAGTCTCATCAAGGTGTATTTTTCTTCATTAGGCGGTGCTTCCTTCCTCAGAAATAGAACTGTCCGCGGAAGACTGATTAGACCTTACTTTCTCACTATTTACAAAGGCACGTATCTAGGTGAAAAACAGACGAAAAAACAGAAATCTCTTTAATTGTATTTCCCCCCCCCCCCCTTGAGCATGACAAAGCGAACGTTTCTCGTCGAGATTTTTAACAACCGAAAAAAAAATATATATTTCAAATCTTACGTGTCACGTCATATAACGTCGTTATTATACTGTATCCTTGTAAATTTTTCCAAGCTGAAAAACACCCGCTGAAATAACCCTGCCGTGTCATTATAATGGTTTTTAATGGTTTATAATGGTTTTTACATCGAGGAAATAAATTTTCGCTGCCATGCGTAAACGAGTTTATCTTCGAGAGGAGGAAGTGAAATTTAATGGAAAAAAAATATGTCGCAACGGAAACATAATAAAATTTTCAAGTCTAAAGTCATGATTGTTATTTCACGATTGTTTTTTTTTTTCTTTTTGTAAAATATCCTCTTTATTAATAATTATCATTATTTTTATAAACAAAATGTGGACAAATTCAATGTAACGCGATCTGCAGAAACATGTCACGATGAAAGAGATCACATTCAAGATAATAACGCAATTAAAATAATTAATACGGCAAGCGAGTTCTGTTTGAAACATGGAGCAGAATAGAATTATAGACTTTTTGCACATGTTTTTTCTTGTAATATTCTCCTCATTCATCTTTGTGAGAAATCATCTGTTTAACTCATACGTTCGTTCAATTGAATTCTGAGAATTGGGTCAGACAGAATGAGTCGAACGAAATACAAGACACAGATTTCGAAACATTTAAGCTTTTAAATTTCAAGAGACAAAAGAGAAGAAAAAAAAGGAACGTACAGAAAGAGGAAGGTAAGTGATACCTTAGACAGTTGATTTATTTTTCAAAGAAACTCCTTCGAGACGATACGTACGAGAGCAAATTTCCTCGATAAATTAACGTGATTACATGCCGCAGAGCAGTGTGTATCCGCTTTTCGCACAAGAAAGCATCCATGAATATTAACTGCTTCGAACAATCGAGGTTCTATCGTACGCAAAAAGTAGCAAGAGGTTCGTATAGAATATAAACTAGAAACCCGATATATCCCAGCGTATATAAATTTTATCGTCGTGATATACGCCGATGTCTTGATCAGGTGTGAAACTCTACTTACCGTCGTGATCATGCGACACCAAGGCATCGACAGGGAGGATGGATCGCCGTGAGAGTAGAACGGACACCAACGAAGATAATCGTTAAGAAAGTAACGAGGAGAGATTCTTTGGAAGAAGAAGAAAAGAAAGGAAAAGGAAAGAAAGAGAACCGATAAAAGCCGTTGCATTCTGCACATTGAACATCGAGAAATTTCGAATATACACGACTGTCAATCATCGACCAAGCCAGCCAATAGTGAAGAATAGGGCATTCAGCAGAGAGAGTACGAGTAGAAAAATACCAAGTGTCTTTTCAGGAGGGAGGGGAGTGGGAAGGTATTCTTAACGAATGTTCAAAAAACACGTTTCGTATATTCGGTGTATGTATAGGAAAGAGAAGGGAATATGTAAGTATATACCGAATATTATACGTATACACTGTAGTCGTTGAAGACTGTGAAGAGGCAGCATTCAAATCCGCAATTTCGCGCTAGAAAAGATGGTCTGGAGCCCCCCCCCCTTTTTTTTGTTCTCTCTCTCTCGGTCGATTCGTCGCCAGAGAATCGTCTCCACGGGTAATTAAGTGGCGCTTTCCATTTTGCAAAGACGTTAATCAGCTTTGTCTACAAATATGTCACTCCGCCGGCAGCAATAATGTCCTAACCCTCGGGGTAAGCTCATCTCCTTGCCTCTGAATCTTTCAAGGCAGCTCCTAGTAACGCTGTCTAGTGAAAAGGAGGTCGCGTACCTCAACGACATTCGTTAAAGCCGTTCGCGTAAATAATAGATTCCAGCCAGCACACGTTCGTTTCTTTTAGCGGAAGAAGTGAAAAATTAGCGATCAATCGTAACATCGCGTGTAAATATCGGTCAACGCGGAAAGCTTGGATCGCGGTCTCGAAAGATGTTCGAACGTAACGCGAAGGATATATACATTAAATTCCACTTTCCACTGGAAGTTACTCGAGCGTCTCTTAAATCGTAGAATCTTCTCTTCCCCCTTCTCGTTTTTTTTTTCTTTTTCTCTTTTCTTTCCTTTTACTCTCCAACCTTGAGAAATTATTTTTCTTTGAAAAACAGCTTCTGCGATATTTTCTCGCCGAACTGAAAAACGCTGAAACTCGGTCATTCATCGGAAACGAGTAAAAGTTCCCTATTAAGAAACTTCGTAAGTTTCTTAACTCCTGTCGGAATTTGTTCTCTAATTATCTCAACCTAAAATTTTGTACGCCAGGGTATCCGTTTGATCCGCAACTCTATGGCTGTCAACTAGAAAAAGAAAAAAAAAAAAAGAGAAAGAAAAAAGAATCCCGTTCGACGATAGTTCTCGAAGCTGCCAAGTGAGAAATAAATAGAACACACTGTGGAAATAAATAGAAAAGAGCCAAATGATATTTTCGCCTATGTCGTAGGCTCTTCAACCTAGTCTGATATCGGTGCTGGAATATGCAATGTTATTACGCAACAGCAAATTGGTTATCGCAAACTATATTTACCCACTAATACAGCGTGCGAGAATTATGTAACTACCAAAATTCTACCAAAATCGAATTCGATTTGCAATTTAATCGACACAAGCTACCACGGTTTTCACTACGTCCCAAACAGTGTTGAAAAAGAAAAACACAGTTTAGGGGGAAAAAAAAAAACGATAGAAGAATATTAACGCAATAATGTGCAAATTAACATGGAATGCTGCCTCTCCAATGTTTACAAAAAAATATCAGAAGCGTATTACGTACATATGTGTATCTCGAGATTGAAACGACATTCTGTATGTAAAAGTTAATAGTATTCTTAATTTAAGGAGCGACTTTCGGTCGCCGCGCGTTCGTCACGTCCGAACGATGTTAGCTCTCTTCTGGAACTAACAGGAAACGTAAGAAACGCGTCAGAGCGCCCTTTCACCTTTGCCACGCTTCCCTAGATAACCGAGTCCGCTCGCTTTGTGCACAGAGGACTAATTTATTGTCATTCACAGATCGCGTCACGTCTATAGGCGAAACCCTTCCGCTATCGTGGCATATTATTTACATGCGCGACTGATTGAATAACTGGATCCTTTGTGGTTGATCCGCGGTAACGGAAATCGCGCCATTTGTCTCTAGAATTAATCGTTGCTCGTCAAGCAACGCTAGATTTCGAAACGGTTCGACCAAGTGAACACACGTGAAATTTTCGTCGTACTAACTGTTTTTCACGCGACAGGATCGTACGTCATAATCTGTGAAAAGATAATTGAAGTTACTTGATTCTGATTTCTACGTAGACACTTGGTTTTGTATTACTCTGAGTATCGTATATTTAACTTTTAATAGACGCTGTTTCATTTCGTCGTTTCCTTGTTTCTCACAATCTGTCAACGTGTCAAAACGTTAATGTCCAGTTTCATGGTGTATCTTAAAGTACACGAAAATCAAAAAGAACGTAAAATTACTATTCCTTGTCCGTTAATATTTAATGAACGCGACAACGCGCTTCCTGCGCGAATTCAACGGGCAGATAGTAAATCGCGAGTTCGGTTACTTTTCAACACAAGCTCGGAAGCAAAAATGTACCTAAGGAAGGAAATTACAATTCCTGTCGCGTTAATATATCCCTGAAACGTTACCGAAAGACATTATTGCAACATATCTTGCCTCTAGCAATTCTCCTAACATCCAACGATACACAGCCTCCTCTCTACATTCAGAGAACTCCTAACATTCAAAGACGTTGCTCAACACGTTGCATCAAAATCATGCAGCACGACACACCGTATCAGTAGCAACAACAGGACACAGCGTCGTTAATTCCCTACTTTAATTCCGGCGCGGCTACGTAATCGTAAATTACTTTAAAGACTTTCTGTCAAATGAACGGGGGGGACGAGTGTGGAGAAAAGCGACCAGTTCGGTGATAGTGATCTGATTGTACTGTTACCGTGGCGCGCAACGGTGTGCACGTGTTTGGGACAGAAAGGGAAAAAAAAAAAAAAAAAAAAAAAGAAAAGAAACCGGGGAAAGCACGAGTGAAAACGAAACGCGCGAAAGTGTGTTGGCGAAGAGAGCTAACGCCGTAGCGGGTGTTTTCCCTGGAGAATGCGCAGGAAAGAGTCAAGAGTTCCGCGGAAGGAACCCCGGTTATCTATGCACGCAGAGATAATATAGAACGAAGTTGGAGTGAACGAAGGTGGAGAAAAAGTGTGAAAACATACCGACGCCGTTTGCCTGGGACGACTGAAGCTGCACGGCGACGCTGAAGCCGCGTAGTTTCACCGGTGCGGAATTTTCCTTGCCCGCCAGGAGGGCGCACTGCGGCTTTAGATCACGATGAATTATGTCGTTCTCGTGGCAGTAGCGCAACGCCTCCAGGATCTGTCGCATGTAATGGCTGGAAAACGAAAGCTGCTGTTATACCGCAATCCTGCGGGAGATGAGGCCGTTGAAAAATATATACATACATATATATATATGCACGTGTTATCTATTCACCCCGGGACGGATGAAAATCTTCGGCCTTATCACGATATGCGCGAGGCTATCGCGATATCGTGTAGCACCGCGTGGGGAAAAAATGATCAAAGACCATCGCGTGACTTTTTTCGAAATGTCGACGTTCGATTTTAAATAAAAATTAAACGATTCTAAGTATAAAATCTTATAAAACTAAGTGACTTGTACTCATGGATTCACTCAAAGTGATGCCATGAATAATGATAAATTCTGAGATCAACTTTATAATAATATCACACAAAATTTCTAATATGTTTTTTAGTATGTTTTTTAATATGTTTTCGAATACAGTCGCTGTATTCGATGTCTATTAAGTTCGAATCAATCGACTTCAAAGAAATTCGTTTCAATTAATTTCATTCAGATTTTCACATTTTAATGTCTACTAAATTTGAATCAACATAATTAATTTCAGAGAAATTCGTTTTAATTAATTTCATTCAGATTTATACAACCGCTGCCTAGCGTTTCCTGTATTCCCTCGCTAATTGCTACAATACGTTCCCTGAACGCTACTTTAGGAGTCCTATCTCTGGATAAAAGCGTGTCGAAAGTTTCTAGTAGCATTCTGCGTCAAGGCAGGTGAACAAATGATGAAAACGAAAAACGGCGTACGAAACAGGGTCAGATACTTTTATGCATTGATATGCACGCCCAAACTTCATATTTCGTGAAATGTCTTGCACAATGTTATTTAGAATTTCTTATATTATGACAGTCGTTCAGCAGTGTTCGAGATATAGTTCAATTTCCGTGGGTAATTGTGAGCACGATGTTAACAAGGGCACTGGTTTTATATTAAAATAGAGATGCACATGTGCTTGTGTGCCGAGCCAGAAAAAAAGAAAAAAAAAATGTAACGTCAATTAAAATGAAAAAAAATTTTTCCATTCACGCATACTTCTAACGTGCCATGTTATTTGACTTGTGTTAAGGCTTTAATATTATTTATTATGCTCGGCATTATTAAGAAATTACAGAAATATAGTTTAAAAGTGTGACAAGTGCTGAAAATAATATAGAAATAATAGTAAAATAGAAATCTGTCACTTGCGATGAAGATACGAATAGTACAAAGAAATATTTCCTTAATTCTCACAGTATTGTATAAAAAGTTACGCCTCTAAAATTGCTTGCGTGTGTGACAGACGTATAAAAAGAAAGAAGATAAAAAATTTTCACCGTTCTTCCACCTGTGTTTTTCCGAACAGCTTGTTTTTCATACCTGTCACAACTCTCGAACTTCTCGGTCCCGTTTCAATAAACGGGGAAAATGATCGACGCTCTAACCATAAAATTCAAATGATAAACGTCAATTCTGGAAAACAAAACGATCGCGGATCAAAGCGGTGAAAGTAAAATTAACTCGGGGTTAAATAGCGTAAAAATGCCTATGCTTCTTAACCGTATAGGTCAGGCGATTAAGGAAAATGTTAAAGGAATGAGACACAGGGATTATTGAAGGTTGACCGAGATATAAAAAACGATGGTCAAAGCGCTCGGGCTCCCGGTGTATTTATTGCATATTCGTTAAACTGTCTAGATAACGTCGGTTCAATCGACTTTCTGTTAAGAGCGAAACGGCAGCAGGATACAATTCGTTAATACAACCGTTTTATATCCTCTTCCACGTACTCGTAAGATATTGCCAGGCTGATTAAACGGGTAATCGTTTCAATCGAGCTACCGACTATCGGGTGCTCGATACGACATAAACAATCGAATCAAATCCTCGAAAATATCATACGCGCACGAAACAAAAAGATAATCGTTTAATAAGTGCATTTCCACGCCGAATATTTTTAGACATCGATGACGAACGTCGTGAACGTTCGATCGTTTATCAAAGATAATTTATTTGAATCTCTCGCGTGTAGTTAAAAATAATTTCCAAAGATTCAAATTTAAATTTCTGCAAAGAGAAACTTTGTTCAACGATACTCCTTTGTTCGTCGTAGTCTAAAATTGTATCAAATTGTTGGACCGATGTAGTGACTGTTTATTAACCACTGTCTTTGACCAGTGGACTGAAATTTTGCATTATTTTGAGGTTGTAGCGCGTGCACGTAGCAAATAATTTATTAATATCGAGACGAAGATTGACTTTTGCTATTGTCCTCCCGAGTGAAGTGAATTATCGACGGTGTCGAATAATAACTTTGTAACTGGGTTTAATGCATCTCGTGTGTCTAATGTATCTACAACTCCAAACTTGTGCACCGGGAAGGTTGCATCCATAACTTATGTAGGTAAGTCATGTCCCCAGAGGTTCATGTTTAGTGCGCTATTGAAATTCTTTCTTTCAACGTGAAATATCAAATGCTGCTGACATACGAATGGCGCGGCTCAAGAGAATATTTTAGTTTGGTCGAGATCGGAAAAGGCGACTACGTACATACGTATATTTCGAAAAAAAAATGCAAAGATATTGCGTTAACGTTTGAACAATTTTTCATTTCTTAACATGCAATTTCCTGCGATTGTATGTTGTGCTTGCAAGTTGAATTTAATTTTATTTCTCAAAACAAAAAAAAAATAAAAAATTGAACTGGGAATTTATTTCTACAAAAGAGAACTTCACTAACACAAATATAGTGTTAACATCTAACTATACTGTCGATTCAAATATTTGGCAATACAGGGTAGTATCAGAGCAATTTTGTCAATTTGTGGTCCAATATGTGTCATGTGATTGATATGTGGAATACTGATTAGTTACTATTAATCAAATTTTAGATGTCTATCGTAGTCAAAATGTACGTAAAACTACGCCGATCTCAAATAGCAAGAGTAAATTGATTCGTTACGAAACGTTAGCTCGTAACGCTATTCGCCATAAAGTTAGCTGTGAGGTACGACGCGACGTGGGTTTGCAAACGACCATGAAGAGAGCAAACGCATTTCAGAGACAATTTTGGACCTGACATGTGCCTACACTGTCCATCATCCCCCTGGTTAATCTACCGCTACTCAACTAAAGTAGATTCAGCAAACAGACGGCCAAAACTTTCATAAGTAAACATCATCTGCTTACGAAAGCTAAATATTAATAACCATACCAGACAGTTACGACGTATGAATAAGCAGAGAATCAATCTTCTAAATATGTTCAACAATGCGTGATTAAAACGAAAACTTTTTTATTACATACAGTCTTTCATTGTCGTTCAACAATTTGGTATCTTATTCTCTCAGAATATAAAGAAGAAGCATTTTCGAAACGAAGTTTAAATTTTAATTTAGAAATTTAAATTTTAATCTTCCAAAATCTTTCTGAAACCAACGATACTGAAGAATTAATCTTGTTACAGTCCTTGAATCTTTACCGATAAAACTGCGCTGTTATTTCGCTGCAAAACTATTTATTACCAAGAAGAATCAGCCACCGTGACAACGTTATTGTCAAAAAACAGACAGTGATGTCCGCTCTCGGAGCCAAGAAAAGATTTTACACAAATGAGAACACTGATGTAAATAGTACGTTCGAGGACAAATGGAACTGTTCCCTTAACGATATTAAATATACTCGCGCAAATTGTGTCATAAACTCGATGCGTCATTGTGATACATCATTGATACGCATAATGGAAAGCTGCTGCGATTCAGGTGAAGTCCAGGGTAAATGTTTTTCTTCCCCTCTTTCTTTTGTAAAAAAAAGAGAAAAAAAAATAAACGTAAATGATAGCGCTGAGCTCAGAGAGTACATTCGAAACAAAAGAGACATCTTTAATGGCTGAAATACTTTTGCGCGCACAATGCGAAAGATCTTCTTACCTGGCCACTGCTTCGCTGTACACGAATCCAGCAGTCGCTCTTCGAACGACCTCGAAGCATAAATCAGAGCCATCCATACTGAAACAGAAACGCGACATTAATGCATAATTTACGAGGTGCTCAATTTATGGCGTGTTGGGAAAAAGGAGTTGTATTTTCTTGCACCTTCAATGTGTACACGGTACTTCGAAGGACTGCATAATACAGTGATTTCCAATGAAATAGATATACACCGCTAACAAAAATATATTAGAGCGTATGAATATTTCACGCTTTGCACAGAATATTTTAAAACTCTATTAATACCACTGTGAGTCTCAATTATCAAATCGAAGGATGTGCAATAATAATTTAAGATATTTAGTACAAGTATATATTTTTACAGAGACGACGAGAACTCACTAACGAGAATCTTCGATGCTTTTGTTATGTGTTTAAGACAACTGTTCATGCTATACACTAATTTTTTAATAGATAAATACTGTCAGAACACATCGCGCAACTTCGGTATACATTTTCAACATTTTATTGACACGAGTATGATACTCGTATGCCATTACTCTCGGATACATCACGTAACACATCGATCAATTTTTTTTATCTCGTTCATTTGTTCGGGATAAGGACGATGTATGACATTTTTTTTTGTTTAAATACGAAAATTCAATTCAGCGACTTTTTTTATCGCACAACTGGAAACACAAAATAAACAATCGTGCAAATTCTGTCGCTTCAACGTGCGCTCTTTGCAAAAAGTTATACAAATGTCTGTTTGAATCGCGATATTTACGAGATACGCGTACAAAATGATAATTTCTATTGAATTTGCGTTTTAAACTGGTGAAAAAAATGCCCCGAGTGTTGATTATGCAAGAAATAAACGCAAACCAAATTAACGAACCACGTTGATGATCAATAATCGGCAATGTTGTCTGACTTGATTATGTTAACAATCGCAACGAGGTTCCTTGCTACAACACCGCGTGTCCCAATTATTGTTGATTCATTCGATGCTAATTAGGTCGATTCGTAACAACGTAAAGCTCCTGAAGAAGAGGCTAGTTACTGTGTGACGGACAAATCCAAATGCGTACAATTGCGATTGAAAAAATATTTTCATCTGGAAAACATTCCATGAAGTTTGTCTGACGTTAATTTCGACAAGCGTGGAGAATCGCTTTGACAAAATAATAGAATACAACACTGTATCGCGTGAATATCTGTCATTCAAGAACTTTGCGTGCTTCTTGATACATGTCTATTAACACGCGTGGTTAACTCATGCGATGTCGCACGCTGCTTCATAAATACTAGACATCCAATTAGAACACAGAAGCTGACATAGAAGCTTATTCCCTTCCACACTGACGACTCTGTCATCTCCTTTCTTCTCTTCTTTCTTTTTCCTCTTTTCTCATCGAAGTAATTTCAATCTCTATGAGATGATTACTTTGCATCACTCTACAGACTCCTCAATTATAACTCAAAATATGAATTTCATTGGGTTTCTTAAACTGATTTTGTTATATCACGGAATATTGTATGTTAAATAATTTAAAGCCACACAAGTGCAACCGCTTGCAGTAAAATTTTCTTTAGTCTAGTTCTAGTCTAGTTAGGATTTTCTCTGTGCGCTATGAACGAGAGTATGTATCTCGCTTCCAGAAATTACAAAATTTCATCGGCACGGTTTCTCCTTGTCACAATCACTAGTGATTGCAATCATGCAAACTTATGTAAATATCTTCTACGGATTTTAGTGTGCGCAGCAATAACTCCGAGTGTATCTAGTCGTCACGTTTACAAACGTTTCGTATTTGAGTTCAGAGATTACTCAAATAATCGTTATCATGGATTCCTTATTATCGGAACTTTTGCCTCGATTTATTTTGGTTGAACAATACTCATTCATTTCTGTCGACCGTTCAATATTCTTTTTTTCCACAGGAATATTTTCTTTCGCTATGTCCGTAAAAGCTTTTAAGCTTCCAATTAATTGAACTATTCATTATTATTTTTTTTTTTTTTTACTACCGTACGATACTTCGAGAATAATAGCATTCCACTTCGTGAATCTAAATACAGCGTAATCAGATGAAGTGCAAAATAGATTGAATACATGGAAACTTTTTATCTTTAGTTCTATTATCTCGTTTACCTCGGTGAAAGAACGGAGCATTGCTATGTAATGGTGGCGCTTGGCTATTAAACAGTTTTTTTTTCCCCTTGGCTAAAAGTAACTGCAAACGATTCAATTCGTTGCTATAACATTCCATAGCAGCAGTTCCAATTCACGGCTTTAGAACCTTGTTTCCTCGTACGCGTGCATGTTTTATTTCGACGTCGACATGGTAAGCTTTTTGGAATCTACGTACTCTCGACGTTTTTTCTTTTTTTCTTTTTTTTTTTTTGCACTGGGGAATTATTGTAACAGATCCATTTGTCATCCCTAAATCTTTTTTCACAGAATAGACTTTTTTTTGGTCCTTTTTTTTTTTGACAAGGTATTGAGGTGTTATGAAATATTGTTTTTTCGGCGATACCTACGTATCAAATTTATTTCATTTTCGAATACGTTGCGAGGATCAATATTGAATTAGCACTGAATCATTAATTATCATAAATGAATAAAACTCGGATTGAATTTGTTGGCAAATATTTTGAAAAAGAATTAAGATTAAATTTTTGTCCAAAACTCACGGACTTTTTTATTGATTTTTCTTTTTACCAAAAATTTATTAAGGTAGATTTTCAGTCAGCAATAATTTATAACTGCATCATTTTATAATTTTAACTTACTTTATTTTAAGTCTGGTAATTCCAATTATCAAAGAATGGAGAGAAACTTGGAGAAAACGAGATCTTAGTAAATACGTATATGTTGGAGAAATAGATGCGTAACTCTACGAATGCCCATACAGTCCTTTAATATTTCAACGGCATTAATATTTTTTACCTTTTCCTGTGCACACATATTCCGAAATAATTAGCCTCTCGAGAGTCAAATATTCCACCCAGAAATATATAGCTGAGCAAAGAGCTAGTATCGTCAAACATTGCTGTTTCGTTTCATTTATTTTTTACTTGAAAATAGTATCAATAAACGTGAATAATTTCACTATTTTCACAAACATTAATTAACGTTACTGTGAGTCTCGAACATCAAATATTTAATACTTGTTTCAAAAGATTAATTGGTTTGAAATTGTACTAAATACATCAGATGCGCACAACACACGATTAGTAAACGACTCAACATTCAACAAAGTTGCAGAAAATATCGAAAAATTGCAGGATTCTGTTATTAATTAGACAATTACACCACAACTGTCAAGTATGACCAGAATTAGCTAACTAAATAACTTTAAAAATTCACGCACACGCGTGTTATTAAACATCACGTGACTAAAAATCCTGGCTTCGACAATTTCACGTTATTTAAAAAACAAGTTCAAACTTTCAACAAAGAACGATCAATACTGATTTAAAGTGAAACAGGTAAAAAATTTTGCAAGAAATACGGAACATTCACGAAGAATTGTTCTCATCCTCAACCATCATTTATTTCGAGCCTTTCGAAACATTTTCCTCGCGACAAAAAATTCACTACTCCTGACGAAACTACTTCAAAGAATTTACTAAAAAAAAAAAAAGACAAGTACAAAAAAAAGATTATAAACTTATTTCAGAAGTAGCAGAAAATCGTACTACGAAAGTAATATTTAGTAAAGTTTGATAAAGATCCACTACCTTCAGATTTCTTCTGCATTTAAAAACGACCAGTTTAAAAAGATCTAATAATTAAGACTCAACGAGGACCTTTTCATGTCACTGCACTGTTAACTGCATTCGAAAAACGTATTTCCCACTTAGAAAATTCGTTTAATTCGAAACGTTGGGGGGAAAAAAAAAGAAAAAGAAAAATGAACAGACGTTGAAAGAGAGTTGCCGCGTGAAAAAAAAGGTTGTTGCCAACGAGCACATTCAAAAGGCGGTCTTTCTAAGGAATTATGAACAAATTCAGGTAAATGCGGCACCAAGACATCGCTCGGCTCTTACTCCGTTCTACTATTCTTCCCGTGTTTAAAGCATTTCAAATGCCACTACAACGTTCCAGGCGAACGTTTCGTGAAATCACGAGAATTCCAGTCGAATCTAAAAGATCAAATCGTCTCGTGGATAAATTATTAAAATCACGCGCAACGAGCAAAAGTCGAAACAAACGCCGTTCGAAAATACACCGAATGAATTTCGTTCAAGTTCCTTCGAAGTTTCCTCGAACTAAAGGGAATAAATTAAATACACACGGTTGTACTTACTATTCGAACACCATATAGAGCATACCCTCCGAGCTGTATGTTTCCAATAACTCCACTATGTGGGGGTGCTTCAGCATGTGGCATATTGTGGCTTCCCGTTTCAAATCTGCAACAATCGTATATTTATGACACTTTCATTTTTTACACGTTTCAGAACGTGGACGTTCCGTTTTACACGGAAAACGAAATACAGTAGAGTACAGAAGGAAAAAGAAATTTGATCTCATTTTCTAAATTATGAAATTAAATAATTAATTTCATTTAAATGAATTTAATCTCATCGTCTAAAACTATGAAATTAAACATAAAATGAAACGGTAATTTCATTGTGTTCATTATAATCACTTGCGCTTCACTTTAGGATATTTAATTACAAAGGAGACATTCGATAATTACTAGTGTTGCCAAACAATTCAACAACAATTTCGATTGAATTATTGTTTAACATTTCGCTCGCAATCCAACTTTATTCTAAACTATGCAGCATCGAATCATTTGTATACGGAGCACGTAACCGAAATCACTTCGATAACTCTGTGAGTAGTAATTTTCACAGAAATTCGTCCGGATTAGATTCGATTATCGCATCAGATGACGTAATGGCATTCTCTTTTCCCCTATCACTTGTACACATTTTTTTGTTTTTTATATTATGTATGAGAGTAATAAATCTGAAAGGTTGCCAATAAACTTCGCAGTTAAAAATTGTTTATAGCCAGAGATAGAATTACGGAAACTTAGCGCGAAATCATTACGAAAAATTAATTGTCTTAGAGACCGGATCTTATAAAATTGATTTTTATCACTATTGTGACGTTCGAGCGTTCTCTTGGGATTACGTTCTAACTGTGACGCATTTTCATAATATTATTAACCTTTAAAGCGATGCATCTCCTTTTTACCTATTATTAGAACTATGTACCTCTTAGACGTATGTATGTAAAAAAGATAATATTTATTATTAGACACCTAACAAATATACACGCCTACGAAGTATTCTGATAACTGCATATCTCGCTAACAAATAATATATTCTCTTCTATTAAGAGAGAGAGAGAACACAATGAAGGAGAACCGAACGACATATCCGATTTCTCTCTAAAAATATGATAAAATATATTTTCAATTAGCTATAAAAAGAGAAATCATCTTCCCAGGCATATCATATATATAACTTCCATGGTTAATAATATTAATATCAAAAGCTTGAACTTTAAATACTATTAAACAATCGCTCAACTCTTTATCCGCAGAGCAATATGTCAGTCCAAAATTAGTTATTTCCACTAATTATCCAAAATTAGTTATCAGAAAAATCGACTCTGCAATATATATATATATCAGAATACCTTGAAGAATCAAAAATAATAGTTCCAACATCGTATAAAAAAAAAAAAAAAGAAAAAGAAGAGAGAAGAGTCACTCTTCGCTACCGATAAATTCCCAGTTATCTCGCAGTTGAAACCTTTGTGACAAAATCTTGAATTAATTCAACGGCGAAACATGCCAATAGCATGGCTCGCAAGGATTTACACTTAATTTCAGAAATTCGCCGTACGTGTTTCGCATTAAGATCGAAGAGAGCAGATTTAGGGCAACGAATGCAATTTCAATCGAGCGGCACAATGGACCGGCTTCGAATTCACGGCTTCGAGAATCGGTGGTACAATCCGTACGTGTAAAAGAGAATACGTAAACATGAAATCGTGTGCAGAGAATACGTTTGTTCCTCGAACGAGGCGGCGGAAATTAATGGCGGAGCACGAGGGCGTGCGCGCGCGTTTCGATTCCCCGAGGACTTACCATTCGTGCTTAGACCGGGGCTGGATGTGAATTTTGCCACGTCGACGATTTTTACCGCGAACATCTGCCCTGTCTGGCGGTGGATGCATTTCCTAACCACGCTGAATGGTCCCCTGAAACAGAGATAAAATACAACCGGTTGAACGCAAGTGATCGTAATCATAATCGTCAGATGTTCTACTACCACTAGATAATTGATCGTTTTAAAATTCAAGAATATTATTTGGTTATCTCTGAGACTCGGAGGAATGCTCGATTTATTTTAGATGTACACCAGCGCACGAAAGGACACCTGCCTTTGACATCTCGAAATGTTACAATTTTCAGAGAAACGAAATCGTACAACGATCCACTTGGCCTCGTTTTGAAATCTCTTCTTTGGCGATATATATCCTGAGTTTGTCTCTTTCCCAAAGGTGTTCTTACATTTTTGTGCAGCGAATGCGAAAGTAAGGATATTTTCGTTCTCGAAGATTGTAAAAATATAAACGTCTCTCCGTAATCGCTTCGAGAAATTCTATTCGACGATTAAATCCACGAACTAATTCTTGGAGATCAAAGTCTTCCTTTTCAACACTAGAACTACCAAAATGATCAAAATGACCAATGTATAATTTTTGTTAGACATTTTATAGGCGTAAAATATACAAATAAAAGCTTATATACTCTCCATTGACTTCAATGTCTCTGATGGAAATTTTGTGTTTCGATCGTTGGTAGTTCTAGCGTTAAGTCTTTCCTTGAAATTTGCTGTACGATTTCTTTCTTTTGCTATTTTATTAAATATGAAACACCGGCGACGACGAAATGACAAGCTCTCTTGAATTTTCTTTCGCGAACGTTTCTAATTGACTGAAAAATTGACAGACTGTAAGCAAAACTTGGCACCTATTGCAGAGTGGCGACGATTGTATTAGCATCGAATGTCAGCGAGTGAAGGCGCATTCGTGCCGATATCGGTTGGCTAATTTGCCGTATGTTAACCACGCGCGCATTCATCGAATTCGCGAAAACCATAATGCATCGGATGATCTCTCTGTCCGGCGATCGAACTGGCCACGCATTACTGCGATTCAATCAGTCTCTCGGGCACGCTATCCCTTTAAGTTCGCTAAGTAACTATGTTACGTAATCGGTTCCATCCAAAATATGTATCTATGCATGCATTTATAAGAGGATTGTCGGATATCTGGGTCACCGATTTTGATTAAATTCGACGTGTGAAGCACAGCTATACTACAATACAAGTCTTATATATTACATGTCTTATATAAAACAACCCATCGAATATCTCTTTAGAAAAGGTATTTCGTTAGAAAAAATATTTCGCACGGAATTTTTTAATACTTTTTCTTATCTCGATTCAACGTTTGATGTTCTCTGCGTTTCACAGAAAAAAAAAAGAAAATGAAAAAAAGAAATACAAAAGATTCTACGTCAGTAAAATTAAAATATACGGTGCAGTTACGACGCGTGTACATGTACAATTTTGTCCAGCTACAAACAATTATCGGTATTTCCAAATCAATTTGTTCTCGCTTTTCAATCATTGTGCCGTGTTAATTATTTGCATTCGCTGGAACATCACGCCAGTGCAAACCGAATTTAATCACTTCTGCTGATCCATAATGAAACATGCAAATAATTTAATAACGTATTACAATACGCGTGTACGACTGCGACAATTCACGATTTCTTATCGAGATACGCGAAAAATCGCGCGGGTGTTTATTTCACGCGCAGCGATTTCGCAACTCGAGATCGCGAGTAATCGCGCAAGGCGAATCGGGTGAAACGAAATCCGACAAACGTGTTTACAAAAGATCGTCTCATTAAAATGGATTACAGAGTTGCTCGGTCGAGCAACAAGTATTCCCACATAAATGCCCCACCGTGAAAAAGCTCATACCCGGAGCACTTGAAAATTCGTGTCAAGAAGCAAGGAGACGATAACTGAGTAGAAGCCGACTTCAACATATCTCACGATACCATCGGCAGGATCAACCTTTATATTCTAGTGTCTTTGCGGCGAGAGCGTACGTCGCACAATGAAATTCTTCTCGTTACCCTTTCCCGTTATTCCACGAATAAGAAACTGTTTACGAATACCAGTGAACTGCGGACATTTAGAATTTTTCTTATGGATAGCGACAAACCTATGAAGCTGTAAAAGCTATGAACTATAGAAATGGAGATTTCTCCCACTTGTGTGAATATTGGAACAAACGCTTCGTCTTGAAGAAAAAAGCGTACAGGATGAGTGTAGAAATATTTGAAAGAGCGCATTAACGTTTGTATTGGAAAATACAAACATTTGAGAAATATTGTCCCGAGTTAAATCAAATTTCTACACGCTTAAGTTTCTTCTTACGGGATGAGTTACAATTCTAATTGTGATAATACTGGTATTTCCCTCGGTATTTAAGAATGTAAAACTCGAACAGTTTGAAGCAATCTTCCATCCTCTCTATTCCCTCTGCTATTAAATGGATTATGTAAAGTGACATCCTTCAACCTTCGTTCGTAACAGCGCGGTAGTTCGACAATCTTCAATCGCAGAAAAAGCCAATAAGAAGGTTTGCTTGCTCGGTCGTGTCCCACTTTTTACAAGAAATTATCGACACCTCGTTGTTACTTAACAGCGATCGATTAATGGCAAACATCGTGACGCTTTAAATTAACTTTCGAGCATCGTAATCTCTCCACAGCATAAACAATCATTTATTATCAAAAGAGAAGTAAAGAGTACTTTGCCGCAGAAGCGTGACGTTACGAAATTTTACGTATTTAACGAGATAGAAATATCTTGTTAGAAAAAAAGTAAAATAGAATTTCATCCGTCAGAAAATTCATCAAACAAAACGCGCATTCGACCGTATTTTTCGATTTGAAACGCATCCTCTTTAACACTTATTGTTTCCATGCGCGTTTCTATATGGTTTTGGAAATTTTCTACAATTTTTGTATTTTTCTTCGTACACCTTCCAAGTTCGTTTCCAACGTGACAGAAAATTATTTTCTGACTTTCATTGACTGAATACGTAAAGGTACATGGAAGAAATATTTCAGTAAAATATTGAGAATGTTACTAATCGTACGACAAAACTGTCCACGACTTGACTCATTAGATTTATCTTTCTGTACATACAGCTAAGAGTTTCAAATTCTAACCCTGAATATTTGTACAGACGCAGCAAAGGAGAATGAAGTTTCTGGAAAGAGTTAATGTAAAAAAGTAAGAAACAAAGGGCTTTGAGATGTGTTCAACTGACAATTGACCAATTATGAAGTGAGACCTCTGGGACCACAGTCAATTAGGTCAATGAAGGGAATCAAAGTAAAACGCCATAAGCACAGAACAATGGGAACCGGTATTTTTCTTCATCTTTTCGATAAATACGAATTGGAAGCTTTGCTCCTCAGAATTATAGAAATTTCGCGGATCTTCAACTTAAATATATCAAAATATCAATATTTTTCCTATGATTGGTGTCTCAAGTGATCCTGTTGAGCTTTACAACTAAAATATTTACACAATATTAAATAAATGTAGTTTATTTCGTTTACACTATAAATACTGCATTTTACAAGGATCTACATAATTTTCAGTGATCTTTCCATTGAATTAATTATATTCTGGCCAGTATTATATTCTTAATTAATTAGATGAATATAGGTATTAAAAATGGAAAGAGAAAGAAATTGTATTGAACCTTAGAATTTTAAACATAATTTTATTTTTTTCCTTGTATGTAGTAGTACATTTTTTCAGTTTGATCTCTATAGTAGAAATCGAGGAGTTTTTGCGTTAAAGCAGTTCCAATTGAGTAAACAATTGTTAAAGGAGAAATATGAAAAGAATGAGAACGCGAAAGAAGTAAAAACAATATCAAGAACAGTTGAATAACGAGTTCGTGGAGAACGGTCCACTGTATTCCCGGATCTGTCAACTAAAACCATTGACTCAATCGCGGAAGAAAAAACTAGGCTTTTCCCTATGCGACTTGTCACGAGAAATTGAAGTTTAAGTGGCGGTAATTAAAACGCCAATCAAAAGTTGATGCGCGAGTTCATGAAATGACCTACTTGAATTTTTCAAATTTTCGTCCATTCTGTTGCGTACAACGGTTGATTCAACGATCCGTGGAAAGGCACGGACAAAAGGTAATCGAAAAGAAGGAGGGGGAAAAAAAAAAACGCCGATTGCTTTACAGTGATCCATTAAAAGGTCTAATCAAAAGTTTGTTTAACTCTGAATATATAATACGTCGGCCGCTATTGAAAGTCAAAGCATTCCGTTCCATGAACGCCTTTCTCTATTTCTTTCGTTTCAACGAATGTGACGAATATTTCTTTCAGAAAACCGTCTTTCTGATTAAATGCAATTACGTAACCAAATCGTGCAAATTTTCAATATTTGTAATGTAAAATTTTAGTTGGAACTTGATCGATTAAAGAATTATATAAAAATCGAGTGACAATATAAAGTTATTCTAATAACAACGAATATTATATTACGAGAGAATAAAAAAAAAAAAAGAGATTAAAAGAGGAGATATTTCTTAAGTGGCCTATGGTCATAATTAACACATCTTCAAAGGTGATATTTATAAAAACGGAAACTGATTTTATATGTGATGAACGCTAGACGACGTCATGCAATGTTGAAAGATTCCTTAATAACTGAAAACACGAATGCTTTATCACTTTATCATTCTATTTAAAAATAGATAAGAACTTTCATTATATATATAATTTAAAAATTTTAGTTTTATCTCTTCGACTTGATTTACAATTTTATAAAATATTATCGTTTAGATCATAACTTCAAATTACAATCAGATGTCGAGGGACAATTTATACGTAGGGCGCAGTATTATCTGCACTGTATATAACCCGAAAATATACGTCCAATTTCCTTGTGCAATTCAGAAACTGGATAGAAGCTCTCGCCACTCCTCATATGACAAATTAATACAGCGAGTTTATTTGCTAAACGTCAGAGCAGTGTAATGACTGTCTAAGAGTGGTTTTACCATGAAACTTCCATACGAGTCGCGTTTCGTCAAAGGATTTGTTTAAAGGCTAAAGATGAACAAAATTAGTTTGAAAA